ACTGCCCACAGCCTTGGTAAATTCATGGAATTTTTACTTTTAAAATTTAGTTAAGTCTTTGAAGAGGTAACATATACACATGGTAAAAAAACAAATTCTAGAATGGATAAAAAACAAAAAGTCTTTTTCCCTCCTTTGACCTCCAGTTCCCTTTCCCAGAGGTAAAGCACTGTTACCAATTCTTTGCGTATGCTTCCAGAAATGTTCTACTCGTATAAAAGAGCATACACACACCCCTGTTTTACACAGTGGGAGTGTCATCTTCACACATTTCTACACTTTGTACTCTTAAGAATACATCTTATTAGCAGAAGAGTGGCCGTTCCTCTGTATCGTAATCTCAAAGCCGCCACTCGGTGCAACCTTCTGATTTTTCCTTTACTGATAGGTGAAAAATAGCATGCCATCAATGTTTGAATCTGTAGGTCTTTAACTGTGAATGAAGTTTAAACACTTTTCTCTTCTGTTCTTATTGGTGATTTGTGGATTTTTATTCTTGTGTCTTTTTTATGTCCTCTGCCTAGATTTTTAATGAGCTGTTATGTGGCTTACTGCTGAGAGACAGGTCTCCATGGGTCTCTCACGTTTCTGCACATCTTTCAAAGAGAAGCTCCAACTACTTCATTATTCCAGACTATCTTTCTAAGGGCATTTGTATAGCGAACAGCCTAGAATATTGACGATGTCTGCTTTGGAAGTAGAGCACAGTTTTGCTTACTGCCCATTATAAAAGATTCAGACTCTTGAAGATGAGCTTTCTTGGCTATGTGTGTGGGCAGCATCCACAGGGTACTCAGCATGGTCCCCATGGGACTTGGGAGGTGACAGAGGACTGACACAAACATGATGCTCATGCTGTTGCTATGCTATGAATAATAATGTTCTTTGTCTCTGACCCAATAGTCTTGTATCTTCAGTCAGCATCCATGAAATGGTACAGGCTAACTTCCAAATAGATAAAATCTCAGATACTTTACATTTATTAACACATTGGTTTTTAGGATCCCTTTATACATTAAATAGGGCAAAATTTAAGACCTTTCAAAGTTCTTGATTTTTAAAGATCTCATGATAAATTAAAGAAATGGGCCCATTACATATGATGCCAATATTTCTTCCCTCCCCCCAATTTGTTAATTTTTTTCTTTTGACTTTGATCCTAGTTTTGAGGGGGATGAGGGGAAAGCAACAGAATTTTTAACTTTTAGACAGCAATTTCATCAACTTTTCCTTGAAAGCTTCTGAGTTTTGCCTAGAGAAATATGCATACCCTACTCTGAGAGGATTGTTTCCAAGTTTCCTTCTCTACATACTCAGTTTCATTTTCCCCTGTAACATTTAATTCTTAGATCTATCTGGAATTTTAGAGTAAGGAGTGAGGCAGAGATTTACGTTCATTTCTCCCTCAGATGGCCAGTCAATTAACCTAATGTCATTTATTAATAATTCCTCTTTTACCCAGCTAATTTACAATATGAATTCACATATACTAGATTTCCATGTGTATTTGGGTCTAGTTTTGGACTTTATATTCTGTTCAATTGATAGGTCTGTCAAATTCATTGTAACAGGCTGTTCTAGTTATCAATATTTGGTAATATATTTTAATATCTCAATATTCTTTTTTTAAAGACTTAATTTTTTATTTTATTTTAAAAATTTTTATTATTTAAAAATTTTAAAACGTTTATTCATTTTTGAGAGAAAGAGAGGCAGGGTGTGAGTGGGAGAAGGGCAGAGAGAGCGAGAGACACAGAATTCTAAGTAGGTTGAGCTGTCAGCACAGAGCCCGATGCGGGGCTTGAACTCAGAACGGCAAGATCATGACCTGAGCTGAAGTCGGACACTTGACATACTGAGCCACCCAGGCACCCCAAAGACTTAATTTTTTAAAAGCCATTTCAGGTTCATAGCAAAACAGGAGAAGTTACAGAGATTTCCTGGATATCTCTTGTCCCTGCAGCATTCTTTTCATAGAAACTTTTACGGCCTGTCTAGTTCACTCATGACAATCTGATGATATTTTTATTGAAACCCATTACTGTCCACCAATACTTTTTGGTTCCTGCACATAGGAAAGATTACACCTTTCTGCTTCTTTGCAGCTATGTGGGGTCATGTGATTAGTCTGGCCGGTAGCCAAGTGTGATGTTTCTAGGCCAACACACTTAATTGCTGGAATGTACTCACTCCTCTTTTCCTGCCACGGCCTCTGAAGATGATGTTTTTTCCAGCCGGTAAAGCTCCAAGGTGGCAGAGCTTGAAGAGTCTGCGTCCCTGAGCAACTGAGTGGGCAGAGGCGCCTGGCAGCCCACAGTGGAAATGTAGCACGGCTGAGAAAGAGATCTTCCTTACGTTGGCCACGGGGACAGCACGGCAGTTTTAGAACTGCAGCAGACCCAGGCTGTTCCAGTATAAGCGTTACATTTACAGATGACTCCAAGGGACAAGTGCTACATCTATAATACTAAGACTTCCCATTCAATAATAGGAGACAGCGCTATAATTAGGCAAGTTTTCTTTTATATCTATCAAGACTTTAAAGTTTCATTTTCACGTATTTCTTGTTAAATTCATTTTTAATTTTATGTGTTTCTATTTCAATTACAAATGAGATCTTAATTATACTTTATTATCTTTTCCCTAACTATAGAAATAGCTTTAAAAAATTATATAGGGGCGCCTGGGTGGCTCAGTCGGTTAAGCCTCCCACTTTAGCACAGCTCATGACCTCACGGTTCGTGAGTTTGAGCCCCGTGTCGGGCTCTGTGCTGACAGCTCAGAGCCCGGAGCCTGCTTTGGATTCTGTGTCTCCCTCTCTTTTCTGCCCCTCCCCTGCTTACTCTCTGTCTCTCTCAAAAATACATAAACATTAAAAAAAAAAAATGAAAAAATTATATAAAAACATATGCCCACTCCAATATTATGTTTTGGAACAATAAAGTAAAAGCAATATATAAAGTAAAAAATCACTTCAAATCTTACAACAGTATATTAATCATTATCAATAGTTTGGCAATCATTACTTAATATACATATATATAAACATACACATAAACATTAAAAAAAAAGTGTATATATACACACTTATGCCATTACATTTTCTTTTTTTTTTTTTTTTAATGTTTACTTATTTATTTTGAGAGTGAGAGAGGGAGAATGTGGGAGGGGCAGAGAGAGAGAGGGAGAGGGAGGGAGAGGGAGAGAATCCCAAGCAGCCTCCACGCTGTCAGTGCAGAGCCCAATGTGGGGCTCGATTTCACGAACAAGTGAGATCATGACCTGAGCTGACATCAGGATTAATCGACTGAGCCACCAGGTGCCCCTGCCATTACCTTTTCTAACCTGTAATTTGCACACAGGGCAGCTACTGCTAACATACTAGCATTGTAACAGGCACTTCACTGAATTTTTGCTGTTTCTAATAGCTTTTCAGTGTGATTCTCTTGGGTTCTCTAGGCATAGAATCACATCTATGCAAACAAAGCCAACTGTCCCTCCTTCCAAAGGTTCATACTCTTTTATTCTGTTAATTGGTACGGGCTGAGACTTCCAGAACAACAGTGGTGACAGTGGACATTGTTATTACTGACTTTACCGGAAATGCAAAACTCCTGTTTGGAATACTGATTCCATCTGGGCAGGAATTCATTCATAAGAAAATGTAAACACCATTTCTCACCTTGATTTTACACTCAAATAAGAGAGTAACATGGTTTGGGTTACTCTGAAAGTTACTTTATTTAATTATATAAATGTTTTTAACATGATTTCATCTTTACCAAAAGCATAATAAAAAGGCATACGAACCTCTCCTGCTGACAACTTCTCTCTTACGTTTTTCCAATAGATGTCTTTATTTTCAGTGTTAGTGAAAAAAAGTAGCCATTCTGCAAAGTCTTCTTTTCTCATGAAACTCAAACCTTTAGAAAACTGAAGGAATTCCATTTCTTGGACTTCTGTTTGTAAATTCTCCATAAATCTAAGTGTTAAAATATAAACTTGATGTCAGGAACCAGTGGCATTCGATTTTAATATTGTCAGTAGGCCCGCGAGGCACCTCCGGCGGTACCCACGGGGAGGCTGGCCTCTTGACATGCTGGATCAAACAAAGCATTAGTGTGGTGAAAGGGGTGTGGGGAGCAGAAGATGAAGAGAAGCTGATTTAAAAAAAAATTTATTTGTTCTAACTTTTGGCATGCACCACTGTCTTTCTCAAGAGCTTTCCTCTTCATTTCCAGGAACTCTTTTTTTTTTTTTTTTTTAAATGTTTATTTTTGAAAGAGAGAGAGCATGAGTGGAGAAGAGGCAGGGAGACAGGGAGACAGAAGGATCCGAAGCAGGATCTGCACGGACAGCCGACAGCCGGACGTGGGGCTCAAACTCATGTACTGTGGGATCATGACCTGAGCGGAAGTTGGACGCTTAACCGACTGAGCCACCCAGGTGCCCCCAGAGAAGCTGCTTAAGTCCAATATTTGCTCCAATTTGTCACACTCTATACTCAATTTGTTTGTGCAACTTATACTTGGTAACCTACTTCTGATAGAGATTTATAAAAATTATGTAAAATGTTGCTCTGATGCATCTGTAGCAGTTTTTTTTTCTTTTTTTTTTTTT